GATGCTGGGAGTCAGCACTGTCCCCATGCACTGAATAAATGTGTGGCCACTAGATTCTTCCAAGGGCTGGATACTTAATAACTTACTCGAAGTAGCGGGATTAAAGTTCACATTAAAATTTTTGTTTATCAAGAGGGGTCTTTCCCAGGGGGAGTTTTAAACTACTATGAAAATATCTTGAGCCATTTTGCTTAATCATTAAAAAGCTTGAATTTCCACTTAGCTGTTTTTTACCCTCTATGCAGACAGAAAAGGGAAAGAAACACTCACATTTTAAGCAATTAACATAATGTGATTTTCCAGTGAGATCGTTCTTCCTCATTATCCCAAAACACTGCAAATTACTCTCCAGTATGACTAATCTACTTCTGCAAACAGTCCTGGAGCTATCCTGGAACATAACACCAGGAGTTCTGAGGCTATCATAGATCAAAACCATAAAACTGCTGCTTGTAAATGAGAAAATGAAATTAACATCTCTAATCCAGATGGATACAGATGGTTTAGGAAGTGAGCAAAACAACAAGGAATCTGACTTCGTCTCATCCTTAGAGTTTGAGGTTTGATTCTTGATTGATCCCTGTTTTAAACAAAGCTGAATTCATTAAGCCAGTACCCCCCAGCTGTACCAGAGTCCCAGCTGGATGTCCTGTCCAAGAATTAACTGCTTCTCTGAGAAAATGGGGCCCACAGTGGGCTTCCAGAAGGAAAAAGGCAGAAACTAGCACCGTATGCTGATGAACAGCAGATACTCAGAGCAGAGTTTTTGGAGCCATTCAGATCCAGCCCTTTCCAGCTTTTTTTTTTTACGGATGGAGGGCTTGTCCTTCCTCTTTCACCTTTAAGATGTACACAAAGGAATTAACACCTTCTGCAGTGTCTAGGTATTGCAGCCAGTTTTATAAGAGATTAGAAATATTTATTCCTGGATTGAGCAGTCATTCAAGCAGGAGAAAAGTTTTGTGTCCTGGCCTTCCTCAACAAGATTTGCCTTTTCTCTTCAATGGCTCGGGGGCTGAGCTCTGAAGAAATGCTTTGACACTGCACGCTCAATTCCCTTTCGTGATCCATACTGTCCATTGGTTGTCATCACTAAAAAGAGGCAAGAGATGCTGGTACAGAGGCTCAGCTTAGGGTTGTGTATGTACGTGCCAAATAAAATTACAATGTGCTGAGCTGACAGCATGCAAAGTTACAATGGCTGCGAGTAAGGAAGCAGAGTTACCTCGCAGTTTCAGGCTGAATACAATAAACAAGCTCTACTGCAAGAAGAATGGACTTTATGCATTATTATAAGAGTTATACATTATTGACAGGCTGCCCAGGGTAGGGGTGGAGTCCCCATCCCTGGAGGGATTTAACACGTGTGGATGTGGCACCTGGGGACATGGTTAGTGGGGGCCTTGACAGTGCTGAGAGAACATCAGGTTCCCACATCAAGTTTTTGACTTGATGATCTTAGGGCTCATTTTAAGGCTAAACAATTCTATGATTCTAAGTCTGCTTTTTTCCCCAAGAGGAATCATTATAATTCTAGAACAAAACCAAAAGATGACAGATCATACATTAGACCTATTAGAATAAACCAACATCTCTCATATGAAAGATGGGAAGGTACTCAAGTTGTAATACTTTATTCCATAAAAATAATTGTCTGCACATTTAATGAAATCATATCAGCTACTTCCTTCTTATTCTGCCAATCATCAGCCTGCTGCAGCTCTGTGGACCATGTGCAACCTTCTTTCTGGTTAACTGGAGCAGCTATGTAAAATACCCGTTGCATTTCCACATCTCTCTGAATAGTGTAGTGTTTTAGGCCAATAAATATCCCTAAGTGTGGAGTTCTTACAAACAGCAACAAAGATCATGTTACCCATTCAATGCACTTCCAGCTGCAAGAGAGGACAATCATCAAAGAACCATTTTATAAAAATTAAATTGTTACAAATTTGCTTGAAGTTCAACTGAGTCACAGTCAGAAACTTACTATTTTTAGTATGCATGATATAACATCATCTGTGGCAAAGCATAAAGTCTGTAACAATTAAGTGTTAAAAAAAGTCATGAATAGCAGCAAAAGTAAAAATTTGGTGTTAATTACTGTGTTAGGGGCCAGTATGTATTTCTGGCATAAACTTCAGACTTTTAAATGTTATTTATATACAGAGGCTTTTTTTGGTGGTGGTGGTGGGGTTTTGGGGGGTTTTTTTGAGCTCATGCATACTATATAAAGACAAGGCAAGAGAATCCATTATGGCAACAATTTTTTAATTTGATGCTACAGACAGTTCTCTCACCAAATGAGAGTACTAATAATGGCTACAAGCCTGCTGTTTGGGCATTTCTCCTTTGAAAATCATTACTATCTTTTCAGCAAGAACTGGTGCTCAAAGTATTACAGAAGTCCATCTGTGTGGAAAAACAGGACACTCTGAATGTTCAAAGCTTACTGGTGTTTACAAAGCTCAAACATCTGATGGTGATTTCATTATCCAACCTGCTTCATGACCTGTGAGCATTTGATATGGCAAGAGGTGGAAATGTTGCCAATGCTAAAAGGGCAACTTTGGAAGTTAAACACAAAAGCTTTGAAAAATTTTTTTGAGTAACTGGTCAGAAATTAACTCACTAGGAGAAGCCAAAAATACTTAGTATGTTACCTTCTCAACATTTTATTCAATTGAAAAAATTTAATGGACTATGGTTCTTAACTAACTCTTCAGATACAATACTATATTTTATTAAATTTTAATTAAATCATGAGTTGCTACTTAGAACACGGGAAGCTGAAGACAGCCTGTGAGGGGAAAATAAAGGGTGAACACAGAAGTAGGTCAGACTTCACGATTAACACAGATTTATTCTTGTTTATATCAAGTTTTGTTTTCTGCACTTCCTAGCAGTCTCCCTGGAAGATTAGGAACCAAATTCTGATGCATCCACCAAACTTAAAGCCAGTTAAAACATTTCTAAAAAATGTTCTATCTGCTCCAGAGTCTCTTTCTCTAGTATATGCCAACTTACACATGGTGCTACTTCTATTTCAGAACAGCAATGACACATTAGCAAGTGATGTGGAACAATGATATTTGTAACTCCCACCTTTTGCTAGAGAAGAAGGAAAAAGATAAAAACAGAACATTCATCAGGTTAACAGGAAAAGCAGGAAAAAAGTCTGATTAAAAGGACCCAACTTTGCAGTTAATATAGGTCATTCAGCAGCCATCTGGGAGACACATTTTAATCAGGTTTCTAACCAAGCCTGCAGATGTCTGTAATCACTGCTGCATTTGTTCTTTGATAGAGAGTCACAGATTAGGTTGGAACGGACCCACAATGATCATTGTGTTCAGCTCCCTGGTGCTTGCAGGACTACCTTAAACTAAAATATATCACTAAGAGCATCCTACACAAACCACAACTCTGGCAGCCTTGGTGCCATGACCACTGCCCTGGGAAGCTTATTCCAGTGCCTAACCACCCTCTGGGGGAAGAACCTTTTCCTAATAACCAACATAACCCTACCCTGACACAGCTCCAGCCATTCCCTCAAGTCCTGGGATCAGACAGCGGAGAGACACCAGCACCTCCCCACCGAGAGGAAGATGCAGAATACGACAAGGTCACCCCTCAGCCTTCTCTTCTCCTCGCTGAACTGGCCAAACGATCTCAGCCACTCCTTGCGTGTCTTATTCTTGAGGCCTTTCATCATCCTGGTCACTTTGCCCTGGGCATACTGCCATCATTCAATGTAGTTTTTATTTTGAGTTTGTCATCCTCCCTGTCGTGGTGTTCCAGTAGGGACTCTGGTCTGTACACTTTCAGTTCAAGAGGATCCCTGTTCAGCCAGGCCCTCCTTCCTCCCTGCTTGCATGATTCCCCATGCTTTAGAATTGCTGGCTCCTGCACTATTAAGAGGTCACCTCTTTACCCACAACTCTCTCTTTACAAATTGCACATCTCAGAGGGCACCTTTTCTAGTTGGTCTTTCAGTCCCTGCACCACAAGTTACCTTCAATATGCTTCAGAAATTCCGTGGATCTGTTTGTGTCTATTTCATGATATTCTCAATTGATGTTTGGAAACTTAAAATCACCCTTAAGGCCCAGGGGAGCTGATCTAGAGATATCCCTTAATTCCTTGTACTGTAATTCATCAGTATCATTATCCTGGCCGGGTGGTCAATAGTAGACCCCCACAATGTACTCCCACAGCATCACTGTTATATATATATATGTAACTTCATATATATATGGACACACACATACACAATTTTCAAAAACGTAGCTTTTTACCTGTACATGCAGATTATGCCCCAACACCTCATTCAGAACGGCCAAGCCTTTACATCTTCATTACAATCATTTCCATCATTACACAGATGGAAATATAAGGTTCTTTGCAGTGTATCCCAGAGATTAATAAATGGGAAAAGTGGAAAAATTTAAGAATCCTCTATACAAAGCTGCTGTAAACCAGAATGACCTGAACATTAACATCCACAGGACGCTTTTTTAGGACAATACAGATGGACGAGGGGAAAAAGAAATTCAGGGTGTTACTGGTCTGTCTTAGCAATGATTATTATTTTAGGGCCCTGAAAAACTATTTATGCTTCCATTTCACTCTGTGCCACACAATAGGATGCAAACATCAATCCTGCCCCAAACAATTCTGGCTATGTATTACAGGTAGAATCTTCAGTGAAGAGAATTCCAGCATCTCCAGTGGACCATTAGCTGCTTGTTTAATGCACTGAAGCAATACCTATGAGATGCTGTGCAACTAAAGGAAAGAATCAATACATATCCTGAAGAAAATCTTTTCTTATTCAGACCAGAGGGAAGGCAGTTAGAACAAGGGACTGCTGGGAGAAGAAACTGCTGTCTGAAAATCGTTTTCCGTGGACTAATATTAACTTATATTCCTGCTCAGTCAGGATTTTCTTTTTCACGATTTTATATTATTGTAACTTTATGCTGCTTCTGTTTCCCTAGTGCAGTTCGACATGATGCGTGCCTGCAACCTCATCGCCACGGTGGCTCTGACTGCCGGCCAGCTCCTTTTCGTCCTGGGGCTGATGGAGCTCCCCATCATCTCCCAGGATACCCAGTGGTGGGAGGAGGCCATAGCTGCTGTGTTCCAACTTGCCAGTAAGTCCACTTCTTTCTACTCATGGAAAAGTGCTCAGTCTGTATTAAATCCAGGTGGAAAAGTGTTTCTTACTTTATAAATCTTTCAAGTGACAAAGAATACCAAAAAGGAATATATCTTGTCTCCGACAAGCTCTCCCCATGAGATTCAACAGTATATTAATAGAAGCTTTTATTTGACATATATCATAATGAGGCTTCTGCTAACCAAAAAAACGGCAAGACTTTATTATTTGCTATGAAACCAGGAAGGCAAACACAGGAGAAACAAACTGGATACATCGTAATCCCACAATTTAGCAGGGCAAAATATACTCAAGGAACTATGAGAAGAGCAGAAGGGCCGAGCAAATTTTGAAAGCCTTGTTGAAACATGATTATTTTATTTTAGCTAACTGAATTTTACTCATTGACCACCAGCTGGATTTTGACAAACAGATACATCTGCAAGCCAGCAAAGAAAGCCGACGTCAATTCGTATCTCTGACTGCTATAAATAAAATTCCCACAGCAATTCTCCTGGACTGTATACAGAAATGCATGAGGAAAAGAGGAAATGGGTTTATCACAATTCTGTTTTGACAGTAGTGACAACAAAGTGTAAACATTCTGCAATAATACCTTTCATTATTACAAAAAGTACGTAACTCCAGTATTCATTACAGCAAGAGTCCAATCCTATACGATATCCATTAATGGAGTAACATTCAAGCTGCTTACAAGATCAGATTAAAAATACAACATTTATATATATATACATATATATATTATTAATGTAAAGAACAGGTTAGAATAAAGTAAAACCATTTTATTTAAAGTTTTAATTTAATTTGACTTATTTATTTATTTAATAATTTATTATTTTTTAATTTATTTAATTTAAATTTAATTTAATTGACTTTAACAACCCAGAATATTAAGAATGCATAAAACTACTAGACCTCAGGTTTTCACCAATGCAAAGTCAGAATCTGGACTAGGTCATTTAAGTACAGTCTCACAGCAATAAAATGGTTAGGTTTTTTCAGGTTGACTAAGGATGAGGAACCTGAAATCCAGATGAGAGGAGGAGACTACAGAGGTTCTGTAACTCTCAAAGCACCTGATCCATCTTCCAAGTGCAGCAGTAGACAATGCTTCCAAAAGACAGATATACAGCCTTGCCATAAAAGCCCTCCCTACAGCCCCATCATGTCTGTGTCACCGTGGATGCCTTCTGGATAGTTCTCCTTGACTATCGGTGTGATGCCTGCTGTACTCTCCCATCCCCTCCAAACTCGACCTGTCTGTTTTTCCAGAGCGGAAATGCATTCTGGCCCTGTTTGGATGTGTTGTTTCATTGACAAACAGCACAGAGGACAGCCATGGGCCTTTCTTCTACCACGGCTGCTAATTTTAGACTGGGCTTTTTTTTTCCCCCCTGTGCTGGAGTCTGTTTTAAACACAGTCAGAGAGAGACTGAAGGGCGCCAGGATATCCCGACACAGGAGGAGGAAATGCCTGCTATTACCTGTTATGCAAGCTGAACCTTGAAATCCCCAGTGCTGGGAGGGGACATGGGAGAAAAGCCACAGTCAGAATGATTAACAAAACACTAATGAGAAAGGCTGAAGAATCTTTTCGATCAAGGAGCCTATGTCCATCTGCCTGCCTATGTTCAAAAGGTGGGAAGGGATAGACCTGGCAGCCTATGACGATATGAAGACAGACACTGTGCTGTGTGAATCTGTAGAAATAACACAGTGATTATCCCTGCCCCATTCTCCATCCCCCTTTGCAGTTATGCCACACTCTCCTTTACCATCACCGGATGGTCTTCTGCCCTGAAGTCATGATATTCATTTTACGTCTCATTATCTTTGTGCTTAAACAAGTTCCTTCCTGATATCCATAACAATCACCTGATGTCTTCTAAAATGCATACTTTTGGAAAAAGCAGGAAGAAGTCATTGCATCTGCATTAATCCAATATAAAATAAGACTTCTTGAAGATCTCCTTAGTTTTCCAGAAAAGTGGTACATCAACTGCTGATTCCTTGGGACATCAAGATCTGCACTCTCTTAACTCCCTGGACTGGGCTCAGGCAACAGCATTTTAGACATTACAGATGAAGTGTCTTTGATATCAGACAAAACCCATATGCGGTGAGAAAGCCAACATTTCCACTGTTCTGATGAAGGGCTGCTGCTGCATCTGGAGACTTAGAGTTCTATATTGAAGGGGAAGAGAGTGGCCACCACATGTCCTATGAGCCACTGATGATATTCAGTCTATGAGTCTCTACTCTGAGATAGTAACCTCTCAGTCATTCTCAAAGAAAAGAAACAATATGGAGCAAAAACAGAACACTGAATATGATACTTGTATTTAAAAGCATTTGTCCCACGCAAACAGTCCAAGAGAAACCCCTGCAAGGCTCTCTCTTGCTTCATTTGAAGAGTTAAAGCTAAGGTACTTTAGGTCAGACAGATCATTTGTGTGAGAGGGGCAGGTAATGTTTAAGAATGAACAAACTTAGATCTTATTAAACATTTCTGAAGTACTGGCTGGGTAATTTCTGTTTATTATACTTCCAAATGAAAGAACACCAGCACCAACCTTCTGGTTTTTCCTTTTCAAAATCCAAAATATCTGAAGAATTGTTCTGCAATTCTTCCTTTCAGTAATTTCAGAAATTATCTTGAATCATATTCCCTCTAATTCCAATTTCTTCTTGATATCTACCTTTCACTCTGGGATATGGCAAAAAGTGCTAAAGAGAGCTGCAGTGGTCACTGGAAGACTGAAATCTTATATTAGGGGGATAGGCTCAACCCACAACTCTCTTACTTTTACTCAGCTGAATCTGTGTGGATTTAATTACAGTTTCCCATGGCCTGAACAAAAGTCCTTGTTGGCTTAGAAAACTAAGTGTGCTAAGTATTATCTCCAAAGTCTATCACAAGCACCAATCAATGATCTTAGATCCACTGGAGCTTGCAGTGGCTCCAGACTCCACCACTTCCTCACTCCTGCCACCTGCACAAGCATTTGACAGCCATTCAAAAAGGATGGACCTCTGACAGAAAATCAAGCCCCAGGAAGCAAAGAGGAAGCAAAGAAGAGAGGAAACAGCAATGCTGTTTGGGACAGCAATTCACACAGCTCCTAAGCTCCACAGCCCCACACCTCCCCATTAACAGGAAAGTGAGCTGTTTGCTTTGGAAAGGGCTCCTAGTGAAAATGGAACCAGCGTTGTACAAGGAATTTTGTGTCAACACTCAGAAATTTCCCTCTAGAGGGTCTTGGGGTTTCTGCTTTTTTCCAAGGACCTCCATCTGCTGAATATAGGATGGATAACAGCTGACAGAAGAGCTGTTGGAAAGGGAAATTCATACTAACAGCACAGGGAAGAAAGAGCACTTCAGAGGATATTGAACTACTACAAACATTAGCTTGCCAGACAGGATCAGGCCTTGAGGGGCTCCAGCGAATTCTTGATCTTGCCCAGTGATGATTATCACAAACTTTAGAGAGAAATAATTTAGAAAATTAGAAACTTAACAGGAAAAATCTGGGAGAGAATATCCTTTACATTAGACCTCATCCTGGTGTCTGAATGTCCAAGACTGCAATAAACCTGAATCATGATTAATATTTTGCCAGTCCGCTTTCAGCATTAAATAACTTTAACACACAACATCCTGAAGATTAAAAAGTTTAATGTTCTTACTGAGGCTGTCATTTACAGCCAAATAAATTAGTCTTACCTTTCTTAAGTTTCAAGCATTGCATTCCAGCTTTGCTCAACATGTTTTTCTGATGAAAGTATTTCACTTCAGACCCATAATGAATCACAGGAAAGCTGAGCTCATGCATGCTCTAATTTCTGTGCTCTTAAAACTAAATCAGACAATTTTTGAATAATCTTCTCCAACCACTTTAGAGTAGTTGATATCCAGGAAATCACAACGTAGAAAACAACAACACAGCAGCTATTGGAAAACATGGCTGAAGATATTCCTGATAGCAGTGTGATCCTGAGTTCCCTATTACTTCCTTCCACCTATTTGCTTCATAACTCCCTCAAGAAGACAGATCCGTTCTAAGATGAAGTCCATGGAACTGTAAACCTAAAACTTCCTGAAAAGGAAGCAAGTAAATGAGATGCTCTAAGTAACCTAAAAATCATAGCAAAAATAGAGAACCTGACTGCTTGATTTGTGCTGTTTTCACTACTTATCAATTTTATTTCACCCTCAGTGCCAAATTTCCCTGTTATTTATGCGGACCACAAATGTCACTGTAAAGTGATTTTGTTTTCAGACATTCACAAAGATCCTAAAATCTGGACGTTTATCTCATTTGTTTTGTTGGAAACGGTTCCCGGGACAGCTGAACCAGCAAACTGGGAAGGACAGTAGCTCACAAGAAGTATGGTGAACTCCTCATCTGGTATAGCTGCAGCAGGAAGATTGTCTGTATTCTTTAAGGCTAAACTCTGATAAGAGCAGCAGGCAGATTGTTGTATCATCTCAATGTCAAGGGCACATATTCTGATCAGAAATACAGTAAAAAATCTATTAACAGATAAATATAATTTGGATATGTAAGCATAAGGAGCATGTAATGCAGAGCAAAGTGTGTGAGACAGAAAGTATCTCAACTCAAATATTCACTTTATTGCTTATGAACATGCACATTATATATACATGGAGATGTCTCCTAAAACTGTTTCAAACCCAGTTGCCTTGCTGGATCCAATTATGCAGCTCTTACCCTCTGATGTATCCAGAGATGAACAGAGCACTTGAACAATAAAAAGCAGAAGATGAGACATGTCCAGGAAGATCACCTGTCAATGACTGCTTCTCTCTGCAGAGGGTATTTTTGCTCAGGCTGACCCCACCTGCAGCCAGGTCTGAGATCCTCAGCATGAGACAGACAAGGACCTATTAGAGTTGGTCCAGAGGAAGCCATATAAATGCTCCAAGTGTTGGAGCACATCTGCTATGGAGAC